TGAGGAAGCAGAGCCTGAGGACCCTGGGTCGGACTCTCCAATCTATGGTGCCGAGGTCACTGAGGTAGTTAAAAAGCTCCTCGGTAGCAGGGCGCCAGGGGTGGATGAGATTCGCCTGGAAGGCTCTGGATGTTGTGGGGTTGCGATGATTGACGCGACTCTACAATATCATGTGGACATCGGGTGCAGTTCCTCTGGATTGGCAGACCGGATGAACTCAGGTTTTCTTTACTGCAGTGTAGAGTTACTGACGTGTCAAGAACACGATGGCAATGATCTTACTTACTTTAACAGGGTATACACAGAAATCCTGAAGTTAAATTTAATACCTTTTAATACCATCCCAATGTTTTTAATACCAACACGACTTCAAGTTGAAACTGTAGCGGCAACTGCTTCAACCTATTATTAAAGTTACTGGATACATAGTTATTTCTTTGCCTTAATGAAACTCTGATCTACAATTATTTGTTATTTAACCCTAAATTCAAGGCAAGTGTTTTCATTATGTGTAGGAAGAGCAGTGCTATCAGCAACAGGTCGTCTGCTCTCGCACGTCCCAGGAACTCAGAACCAAAATACCCGGATGTCACACAACCATCCTCTAAATAACATCTCTGTACGTCCATCCGTTTTTTAAACATGTATTAAAACTTTTGTTGAACATGAGAATGAACGGTCCAGCTGTGTTATCATCCCTCCACCACCACTACACCGTTTTACCCTCACAATCACCATCTTTTATCTGCATATACATTGACAATACCAGCTAAAGAACGACTGTAAAGGCTTCATCAATCAAATTCTTTAAAAAAAAAAATCAGTTCTCAATTTTTTCATAMTGAGCAGAGGGTTGCCTGCAATATCTTTCAAATATCACCTTTTAAATTTATCAAAACTGCAAAAAAAATCTCAATTTATAAACTTTCTTGTAGCTAAAAATACTTTCAATTAAAAACTATTATTGAAAATAATAAAACCTTACTAAACAAACTAAATCAACAGAATCTACGTGAGAACTGTAAATTATGTTTCATGTGATCCTGTATTAATTTACATGAAGTCTGATCCCAAATAAACAATTGAGCTCAAATTCCCAAAACCCTTTAATACAGTGTAGGATTTAAATTAGCTCATATTTATCTACAAACACATAAAACTGACTTCTTCATAGAGAATGCCCTCCCTGAGTTTTGGGGAAAAACAATTAAAAAAATCTGAGACACAGCTTTAATTTACTTTTGTTTTGTTCAAACAAATATAGCTGTTTTATTGTTATTGTGTGTCTGTTTGTCCCAGTAAACACACACCTGTTGATTGATGTTATCTCCCGTGTCATTCTTATAAAAGCCATCACTTTAATCTCCTCACCTGCTGCACCCGCCTGCTCCTCTCTTCTCCCCCGCTCTGCTCCAGCTAGCTTTAGCTAAAGCTAGCAAACACGGACACACGGCTCCTCTCAGGTGGTGGAGTCAGTAATCCTTCTGCTGGTTTATCTTTTCTGAGTTTTAACAATCTTCCAGCTTTGATATCGTCTCCTGTTCTTTTTCAGACGTGTCCTGACAAATATATTTTATTTAAAATACCGCTCCAACTTCTGCTACTAGAGACACTTAAGTCCCGCCCCCCACACTATTTCTTATTGGCTAATAGGCCTGTCTAAAGTTAAAGCTGCGTCTCAGATAGGGCCAGAGAAATGTTTGTTAAATCTGTTTTCAACGCAGCGCATCAGATTCCAGCATGGTGAAAGTGCGCTAGTTGTTTAAAAATTAATACCTCGTCAGATGGCATTTATTACCTTTTAATACTTTTTAATGGCTTTAATTTTTGCTTATTTGGTTTACTACCCTTTAATACTTTTTACAACCCTGCGGATACCCTGTTTAATATATGGTCTGTAATCTGCGAGTTTGTGCTGTAAAAACAATGCAATAATCAGCTTGAGACTCTGTATCAGTCTCTACTTTAAAGATTGACTGGCTTTGGGGACAAAAATAACTATCTTGATTACCATAGCTGCTTCAAAAATTATTTCCAACTTGTAAAATTTTACCTCTAGTAGTGTAAGCGTTGAATCTTTTTGAAGGAAAATTGCTGCTGCAGACTCTTTCCATTGCTGCACCTCTGCCATTAAGGACTCTAGTCTTTCTAGAGGCTCCAGCTGGACCTGAATGGCTTGTCCTCGTAGGACCATGTCAGAGAGGCTGTCCGCCATCAAAACACAGCCGCTGACCTGAAAGGAGGAGTTGATTTTCTTGTGTTATTGCCTCTTAAATCATCTGGTCATAATGTATCATGTTCTAACCTGAAGCTCCTCGGCTTCCTGGAGCCACTCCTGGGCTTTTCTGATGGTGTCTTTGAGGAGCAGACAGTTTGGGAGGTAAGCAGGTATTCCTGATGCCTTCTCAGCTGCAGCGTTAAGAGTCTCTATGGAGTGTGGCGGTCTGGTGCCAGAGAAACACACGTGATCAACATTTGTTTCAGCTCCATTTCTCTAAAATCATCTAACGGTCTACAGACAAGCTTACGAAAAACAGCTTTAACAACTAACAAACACAATTCAAACTCATTTTAAAACCTTGTCCAGACAAGTTTAATAAAAAAAAAATAAAACGCTTCCCAATATTTCAAACCCTGTGAAACCTTAAACTCTGGATCAAAAAATTTGAGTCCTGACTTGAGATTAGTTCATCTGATAATGAAGAGAAGAGAAACATGTTCCTGACAGCCATGCCATTAATTAAAGCCTTTTAAAAAAGCACTTATGACAGTTAATACTAAACAGCGTTTTGGACCAATGGAATGAGGGCAAAACTAAATATGATGCTCACTTTTTGTTGATCTTGTTGAATATTCTAGCAGCAGCATTTTGCACTAGCTGGAATTAAAATGAAGCATAATCAGGAGCACTGACGTCATAATTTCATAATTCAGTCATTATCAGTGCAAATATCTGGACAAAGAGTTGAAGCTAAAAGACAAGATAATATTTCATAAGTTATGTTGTTTTTTGGATAAAGTCAGAGCAGTAACATCCGATTGTAATGTGATGCTCTCGGTCTCTCAGGTGTTTTATTTATTTATTTTTCTTCCTCCTGGCTAATGCTCAAACATCATCGCTGATCAGTGAGTGCTGCCCTCACCTGGCCTTCAGCAGGCTGCTGGCCTTGTCCTCCCAGTGCTCAGACAAAGTGAGCTGCTCCTGAAGGCGTGCCATGGCTCTTTCCACAGACGGATGAGGTGCCAAACCCACTCCCTGGTCGATGAGCCTCCTCATGGCCTCTAGAGTGAGGGTGGCGGGCTGGGYGCTGGCCTGCTGCACCCCCTCCAGCCACCGTGCTTGTTCCAGTCTCTCTCTGAGCTGTGGCAGCTCCGGCAGGTCCACGTCAAAGTCAAAACTGACATCCAACAGGCTCTGGATCTCTGCCACRCTGGGAGCTTCATCTGCCAGGACCTTCTCACTGTGCTGCTGGAAGTCCTCGATACGATTCAAGAGTTCCTGTAAAAAAACCACACCATTAGGTTAAAGAGGGGGTATTAATTCTGTACCATCAATCAAGTAACTATGTTACATTCAGTTGGTATTTAAAAGCTGTATGTATCAAAAATACTTTTGACTTTGCATCATTCTAAACGCCTTGAACTTGGCCTTTGTCTCTTTAAGAACTACCTACCATTACTGACACTCCCACTTCAACATATCTTCACAACAATGCTTCAGGGGAGGTGTGCTCTGTGGGGTGGAGCTTAGCTGTATACTGAGCTCCAGGGAGGAGCTTTGTGTAAATAGGCGGTGCTTTGTACCAGCAAGTGTTTAGGCAGCTCCCATGACCACAGGAGATTCAAAGATTTCTTAAGCTGAAAAAAAGTAGTAGCCTTTGCATAACTCCCCCCACCCCCACCAACACCCTTAAAGGGATCCATGATTAGTTGTTTAGACTTTATTTGAAAAACATATATTTTAACTGTAAAATAAAGACTGTAAAAAGGGTAGGCTGTTTAGTTTTTATAACTTTTAAACTAAAAGTTTAAAAATATATTACACGGAGGGGGTCATTTTATTCACATGCAAAGCATTCTGGGTAAATGATGACGTGGGATAGGTCATCGGTGTGAGGTAACTAGCGAGCTAGATCCACCCTGAAGGTTAATCTTGGACAATATCTGATGATSGACTCTTTTAAATGAAACCAGAGAGCGTTGACAGAGAGGAGAAGGTAGAAATGACTCAGCCTGGAACTGAAAATATGGATGGAGGACAACAGAGCTGCTTCATGGAAGAAGAACCTCAGCTTAGCCTGTTAGCTTTAGTGTTAGCCCTGATGCTATCACCATACATATGTATTAGCTCAGCGCTACACATTCTCCTCTCTTCACTGAGGTCCTCCATCCACATGACAGAGAGGGGAACACAAAAATGACTCAGTCTGCAACTGAAAATATAGATGGACCTCAGTTTAGCTTGTTTGTCGTGCTAGCACCGAGCTGATACATATAAGGCAATATAGCGTTGGCGCTAAAGCTAACAGGTTAAGCTGAGGTTCTTCTTCCATGAAGCAGCTCTGTTGTCCTCCATCCATATTTTCAGTTACAGGCTGAGTCATTTCTACCTTCTCCTCTCTGTCAACGCTCTCTGGTTTCATTTAAAAGAGTCGATCATCAGATATTGTCCAAGATTAACCTTCAGGGTGGATATAGCTCGCTCACACCGAGGACCTATCCACGTCAACATTTACCCAGAATGCTTTGTGTGTAAATAAAATGGCTCCGTCCATGTTAAAATATATTTGAAAAATTTACAAAACTGAACAACCTACGGTATTTTTTACAGTCTTTATTTTACAGTTAAATGTTTATCAAATAAAGTCTAATGTTACAACTAATCAGGGATCCCTTTAAAACAGACAAATATTTATTGATTTAATGATCATATTATATTAATGTAGCTTGACTGCTACTCAGGCAATTGGTGCTAAYTAAAACATGACTCAAGTTTAAATGACATAAAAAAAACACATTCCATTTCTCCTCCTAAACTTACCTTCAGCATGGGCGCCTGCGGGAGGCTGCAGGASAGGTTATACAGCTGCCTCACGAACGAGCTGAGCTCCTCCACAGTCAGCTGGCTGCGGGACTTCCCAGTCCCACATCGATACCTAAGTGATGAAGACATCAACCCCATTAATACTGCTCCCCAACAGGCGGGAGCAAAAAACACATCTATAACTCACAGGCCGCTTGGAGGAGCCTAAAAATACTACCTGGTCTGCTTCTTGCCGTTGAGCAGCTGCTGCGCCACCGAGGCGCACTTCTCTGCRTCCTGTGTGACCAGACGCAGCCGCCGCAGCAGGTCGTTGTCAGGGAACAGCCTGGACTCTGACTCAGTGAGAAGAGAGCGAAAGACAGGCAGGCCTGAGGAGAGAATGCAGGGTGAGTCGCAGTCTGACACACGACGTGATGGCACAGTTTAAACAACCCTCATGTTTGTCTGATCACTCGTTAGTTTTCTCTCCTGATGACAATCGTCTGCTTAAAACTCCTGAAAACTACTTTCCAAGTTTTGCAAACAGTGCTCAAAGGGCTACATTTTTAAAACTTACCACCATATTTTTGCATGTATAATGCAATCTTAAGTATTATATGACCCCTCATTTTTTGAGATAAAAAAGCATTAAAAAATCTAACCCTCATGTATAACACTACCCTTGATCTCAAGCAGGCTTCAAGATGTTTTAGCCTTTGTGATTTGTATTAACAACCAGCTACTAGAACAGACCATTTTTAGTGAAATGACACGCAGAAGAAGCATACAAATGCACATTTAAGTAATTTGGGTAAGCAAGCCATGAGAATGGACAGGCTTAAATGCAAACGACAGCCAACAAAATGTGTTTTGCCAGAAAATTGTTTAGACTTGTGTATACTTACTTGTGTACACTTACTTGTATATTTACTTGTGTATTGTGACACCCCAACAACAGTGATTTTTGGGTTAAAGTGTTTGCTTTATGCACACATAAATATGGCAATGACAATTATGGTCATAATGTTTTCGTACTGTTTATTTTTCTTTTATTTCAGAGTTTTTTGGTCAATCGTAGCAAAAGACGTGGCTGCGCCTGGCAACATGAAATTTGGTAGGAATACAAATGTAGCCAACAAACACTACACTGGCAAATAGTTATGCAATAGACCCCATATTTCAAGAGGGGGTGCTACTTGAAGAGATGGTGTCTGGACATACAAAAAAGCTTATAGCTCAAGAAATATTCAACACAGGAACTTCAGATTTTTGTTTTTGTTTAGCTCTGAGGGCTATCATTTCATGACATCATTATGTGTTTCTATGCAGCTACCACCTAGCAGTAGGCAAAATAATCCAAACACRTGACTGAAAGTTGTTCTTTCAAGCCTGTAAATCTATAAACATGATCAGAACTTGGCACAGATATTGTCCTATCTGACCTACACTGACTAAGAGTCCAACAACCCCATACGCATGTTCAATACCTCCACCCAAAACAGCTTCTACTCAAAATGGTCTCTGTGGATCATTTCTAYACTTGTAAAGCATCTATAGTACAATTTCCTGGACAGAACAGTACATTTATGACATCATGCATATGAATGTGATTTGTTTTATTATCACTCTACTCCAATAGATTACTGAGAACAGATCAGGTTTCATATAAATACCAGAACATCTTAAACATCCGCAACCCACATGTGAGTYCTGGTGTGTGGGTTCTTTGAGTATGTGCGTCATATTTGCTACTGCTTTGCAGAATCTAGTCAAAAATTGTTTTGGGTTGAATTTTTTGCAAGGGCCAAATTCATATCATAAAAATCCACAACAGAACATTTTGAAATGAGGCAGTGAAGAAATCCAACAGTAGTTCATGTCTTGTAGCAATAAGGTTTCAGAAAYACAGCATTCAGAGTAAAACTAAAGTACTCTTTATTTCCCTCACAATTCAAACATTGTAGTTGCATGCTTAAAGAAATAAACTGAACTAATTAAAAGCCCTTATCAGGCGGCATACGGTACTTTAAGCTCTGTTTTATTGATGCACACCTTTCTTCTTTTCCAGTTTAGCCTCCAGAGTCTCTGTGACGCGGGAAGCCCATTCATCGTACAGCTCCGCTCTCTGCTTCACGGCGTTCATCATTGGGAACAGGTCGTCCATCGTGTACCTGTAACTGCATCAGAAACAAAACCCTAAATGTGTGAGAATAAAGTAGGATGCACATTCATATTCAAAGATCCAGAGTTTGAAATACAAAAAGCAGAGTCTTTCAGACCAAAGAAACGTTTCTCATTTTTGTTTATTTCTTCTTCTTCTTTTTCGTTTTCATGCTTCATAAACTAGTGCTCAAAATAAAACTGCTTTTAAAATAAGTTTAGCTCCTGCTTTCCCAGCAAGGGAGAAGCTATCTGTAATAGAGTGGAGCAACACATATACGCAGTTTACTTAGCTTCTCTGCCTCCTTTAGGGGAAACAAGCCCCTCATGTTAACTGGTAGTGACTGGAATTCCTGTTATATTTGATCAGAAAACTGCTTTAAAACAAAGTGCAGCATTGCTTTGAAGCTTAAATGTCCTAAAATTATGGGCAAGCAATTATTTACAGTCACTCTCACCTAACAATCAGCAGTGTTATATAAAAAAAACTTTCTACGAAGTATGAATCAATGTTCATCAGATCAGACAAACAATGCCTCCGATGGCCTGATGTGTCATTCACTGAACTCCCCGAGAATATAATTCTCACACTCATTATGTTTTTMTTTTACAAAGTTAATTGATTTTGCTTATTTGGCTGTGGGTTGTGAAGGTTAAGTACACTGATTACAGCATAATTAGGCTCTGGTGGACCAGTAGCTGCAGAAGAGTCAGCATATTTGAGCTCAGTGAAAGAAAAATGCCAGACTGGTATAAAAAATTACTCAAAAATACGTGAAACTCTATATTATACGTGCTGGGCAAAATGCAACACAGAATTTTTTAAGCACATCCCTAATATTTTCCCTTTGACTCAAGCAGCTTGACACAACTTCTTTTCCCCTAAAAGGGGCGCGGCTGTTTGAAGAAAGAGGAAGTGACATGATGCAGCGCCACATCACTTCGGTTTTACAGTGTGGTTAAAAATGATGTAACTGTATGAATAATAGCCCAGCAAAGTAAGTGTACTGTAATATGTTGAGCAAATTCTCATGAACATTAGCAAACGTTTATATCGACAACTCTGGGTCTCTTGAACACATCATTTCAGGAACTATAGCTGGGTGGGTCTGTCGGGACTGGTTTCATGGTCTTATTTCACAGATGCACAAACAACATTCCCACGGCTTCACATACACACAGCCCTCAAACCACTGCCTGAGTTGGCCTAAATGTGCTCTATGCAGGGTTTTCTTTGTGAACTCATATTGTGTCCTTAAAGGGACACAGTATGAGATAAGTTTTTTAATCTCTCATCTACTCAGGTTTGCCATTTTGTTTTGTTTTTTTCTAATGCAAGGGTAGCGCCTCCCTATGGCTGCAGCCTGGGGCACCTGTCCCCCCATGTACTGTATGTGATTCTTGTTTTTGTTTTTGTCTCTCTTGGATGCGTTGTTCCAAAACATAACATCCCTTTGGGATCAATAAAGTATTAAAGGGCCTGTGACATCATACTTTTGTTATAAACATGAATGCATTTTTGGAAAGATAACATTGATTACATACTGCAAAACACGTTTCATGCTACTGAGATGAACAGTTGTTGAGATATTCGCATGTGAAGAAACAGGAAGTGATGTCAAAGGGGAATGTCTGAATGTGAACAGAGCGTTGTTACAACAGCTAAAAACACAGACTGTAGAGAAGAATCTGATGTTTCTTTAGATTATTTTGAGTCGCTATCAAAAAGAGATGAAGAAGAGTTAAAGTTTAAATAATTTTGTTTTAATAAACAAAAACCAGGGAGTTTATTTTATTAATGAGTTCCCCTTTGATGTCACTTCCTGTTTCACTTTGGATGAGCCAAATTCAAAGGAAATAGGCCAGTTATGTGACAAAATGGGTAAAATAATTTGTAGTATGCCAATTTTCTTAAGTGTGAAGATGTTTTCTTTGACTTTTTGTATTTGAAGGATAGGCATGTCACAGGCACTTTAAAATATAAAACAAAATGAAAATGGAAGAAAGAATTTGGTTTCATGAGCATGTTTTAGACAGGATTTTCAACATGATCCTCTACACTAGGCTGGTTGGTTATGACACTTCAGTTTCTTTTTGTGATGTAACCAGAAAACCCTCAAAGATATTTGGCTTTCCAGGAAAGCTTCAGATTTTATTATCTCGCAGATCCCTTTGAATTATTGTGTTGAATGATCTCTTGTCTCGCAAAAAATAAAAAATAAAAAATAAATAAAAATCAGCACATTCATACATTTGTCACTCTAATCATGTCACACCGCTTTGGAATCAGTTCCAGTAGGACCTACTTCAGTGTGTAGTTGGAGAGGGAGCAGGGGCAGAGGTCACCGATGTGGTACAGACAGACCAGGACTCCTGGGCTACAGGAACAGGTGACGGCAGAAAGGTAGCACGTGGTCCTGCACTTGGCACACTGTCGCTCGTCGTCCTGAAGGTGATCGTATTTTGCCTCCTGAGAATGCAACACGCCCTGAAGGTGTAGGAAAACAACAAACTGATTATTAGGTAAATTCAGACATTTTGTTTAACACGTATTTGTCAGTAAAATAAGTCAAAACATGCATTTATGTATAGAAAATGACAACTGCCGTACCAGTTTCTTTATTTTGTCCCTCAGCTCTTGCTCCTCCTTGATCATGAGGACCATGTCTTTGTGGACAGCTGAGGCCAGGACCACACTGAGTGCRTCTGCTTTTCTGGCCATGTTGCACACCATCTCATCGTGGGAGAACACGTTGTACCGGTGCAGCAGACGGTAGTGGTCCACACACTGTCTGCCAAGAGGCATCTGTTTGAACGGAGAGGTAAGAAATGAGCTGGACGTTAGCTTTTCCTTCGATCACTGTTATCTGCTCATGAACAAGTTCTGGTGGGATCTGTTCTAGAGTGTAGTTTGTGGGGTAGAAACCTAATTTAATAAGTACTACTGTATTTATTCATGTATAATACTAGAAATTTAACCTTAAAAGTCATCCATAAAGTGGGGGGATAGTATTATACACGGATTATTGATAATTAGATTTTTATGCTTTGTATGCTCAAAAAATTATGATCGTATTATACTAGAGATTTATAGTATTACAACTAAAACCGTTTTTGATGCCGCCACCGCAGTTTGTCCTTCATGAGCCTTCGTAGACAAGATGGCCGTGAAAGATGGCGGCTGCCTGTACTGGCGACCCGCGACCATGGAGATAGAAACAGCTTTTTATAAGGTAAAAGTAATAAAACAAGGTCTTTGTCTGCAATGATTAGACATGTTTTTTTATTATTGTCAGTGATTATCTCAATTTCGGCTAAAAGAATTGACAAAACCCTACACACTGTGCCTTTAAGCCCAAACCCCCGGTTTTCTACTTTAATTACTCCAAGTTCTTTTAGTTAGACATAGACAAGTTTGATATCTACAGAAACTTCAGAATCTTGGCTAGAAGCTGGTAAAAACCATTTCTATGAACATCCGAGACAGTTAAAATTACAAGCAGTTGAAGATAAAACAATGAAAGTGAAAATAAAATTGGTTTAAAATTTTGGCAAGTCAGAGATGTCAAAATAATGTGTTAATTAGGAGGTATAATGTGTTCATTTTGTTTTTGTTGTTTTATTATCACTGCATTTATTACACAGGGTTCTGTATGTTGTTTTCATGATTAAATGCAGCAAAATAAATTATGTTAAAAGGTAAAAGATCTTTGTAATATGTGGTTTATTTACTTAAATGACTTTAACTGCTGGATGTTCAGCCCCTCAGCTGTTGACCTGCAGTAACTGTGGCCCCTGGAGCAAATTAGTTGAATAGCCCTGGGCTATAACATTATTCAAGGAAGGCGGCCCACCCTCCTTATGGAACTGCCCGCCCTGCCTTTCAGATTCCCCAGTGACTCCCAGACGGGAAGCAGAGATTGTAGAAACAGAACAAGCAGCTTCAACCTAACATTATCAATGTAACGTTCCACTACCACTAACACCACCCCCACCCACACCAACCAACCAACAGCAACCCTGCTAAGGCCAGTACTGCAGGGGGAACACTGAAACCATTGGTGTGTGGACGAAGGTCAGCAAGATAATTAATCCACCAGATAATTCAGAGGCAGTCTGTTTGGGGAGTTTTACTCCAGGAGCTGCGAGGCTTTCAAGCTACGTTCAGACTCTGTTTACTGAACCAGCGGCTGCTGACGTCATTACGCTCTTGCGCTATGCTGCGTTCATGACAAGCATGGAAAACTCACCACTCTTACGCCGAAACGGTCGCAATGATGCGTTTAAGTACTGAAACATGGTACCATTTGATGTTACGTGAATAGGTTCTCTGTAGTACTGACAGAATTTGGTCTGTACTTAAAAAAGTATTGAATTCGGCGGTACCCATCCCTAATTATGATGCTAATAAAGGTAAAAAAAAAAAAAAAAAAGCTTTTTAATTATAAATATTTTCTTGTGTGACATCAAATTTAATCTATCTTACTTTTGGTCAACTGAAAGAAGACACTTAAACCTTTGAAACAACAATCATTGATAAGAAAAATCTCTGTCAGGAGAGCAGCTTCAAAACGATACAGACCCAGTCGACGGTGCAGAAGTTGACTGCCTCAGCAAAGTTAAAGCCCTGGTTGAATCCGCTGTGATAAGCTCTGGGAAATGTGATGACAAACTCTCCAGCACACTGGTTGGTTCTGTAAATCTGAAACACAAGAGACAACTCGTTGGTTGAATGCATCAGATACATGTTAACGTAGTTGAAGAGCAGAAAAAAAAGTCTCAATAATACGAACAGGAACTCCGTGAGCCATTAAAGTGTTTGGGTTCATGATGGTGACCAGCTGGTGCAGCAAGTCAGGCTGAGACTCAAACAGCTCCGGGGCCAGTTTCTTCATCACCTCCTCCAGCTGCTCTGCTGCAAAACCAGGAGCTCCGTACCAGGTTTTAGGTTCTCCCCTGGGAGCAAATAAAAACACAAAGATCACTCCACATCAGCTAAACGAGAACTTATTTCAAGTTTCTAATGTGCATTAAAAAACAGCAAAGTGAGGGACTGTTGGTCAAGCTGTACCAGTGCAGGTAGTTGATGGAGTAGCTCCAGTGATCCTCAATGTGCCAGCAGAAGGAGGAGAAGCACATGCCAACATAAAGCCACGGCAGCGTCATCCCACAGATGTCAGCTGTTACGTGAGTCAGAACCGACGTGTTCATCAACGCCAGGTTGTTCAGGTTCCAGCCACATTTGAGGTATTTCTGCAAAAGGTGCAAGAATATCAGGACAAGTAATAGAAGCAAAAACAATCTACCACTGATGTAAACAAGGCCTTGGAAGTTTTGTTTTAAGTTGTTACCTCATCTGCTGGGGAAACCTTAAATTTCCCGTTGGGAATGGGGAATCCGCTCCCAAACTCCTTCGATGCGATATCAGCTCCATATTCTACAGTAACATCTTCCTCAATGGCTCCAACCAAACGCCAAAACTCTTTCTCCACTAGCTCCATGGGTACCATCTGTGATGATGGGAAAAGAAGAAAGAGAAATTCCAATTTTATTTTAAACACTGAATATCTTTCAGAACAATGTATTTATGTTGAACTCTACTGCTTACATGAACCGGCATGTTGAAGTAATCTGATTTGAAGGCGTCTGCCATTTGCCCAAACGCACGTAACGAGTAGTCCCTGTGTGCTTGTTCAAACCCGAACGCCTCGTGAGGTTTGCAGCATTCCTGTAGGGACAGTTAAAACAGGTTTCATGTTTACGTGGTAAATATGTGATGCAGCAGCCCGGGAGCTTTCATCTGTTTTTTTTTTTTCCACTTTCAGTTTTGTATTCATTGTTAACTTTGGTTTAATTATTTTGTAAGAGGAAACAAAGATTTGGAGGGTTTCTGCTGTTTCTCGTCACCTGAGCCAGACACTTGGGGCACCTCCAGTCTCCTCTAGGGACGTCGTGGAGAGGGGGTATCAGACAGAAGGTGTGGTAGCTGTCATCGCAGCCGTCACACAGCAACAGACGGTCTTCATCTCCCCCACTGCCGCACACCAGACACACAACCAGATCCACCTGGATAACAAAGGAAAACAGTGTCAACAACATTCCAGATCATTCCAGATTGCTATATCGAGTTTATTTTTTTCTTCAATATATCAATTCATGTAGTAAATTTAAGTCTTTTAAGCTACCTTTTTTTTTGTTAAAAGAGATGGATTTCATAAATATAAAATCTATTTTGGTGTCTGATACACTGTAACACACTGACACTTCAGGCTGCTTCAGATACCATTCAGTGAGTCACCCTACATTTACTCCTGTGTCACAGATTCAGCTCAGAGTTCAACTGTTCATCCTTCTTATCTTTACTTCTTTAGGTCCAACTGTGTTTACCACGTCTCCAAGTGGGGAATTCAGAACTTGTCTGTTTTTTCTTTTATTTCCTTTGCAATTAACTACAAACTCCTCTCAAAAGCTAATTACATCACCTCAGAGAGATATGTGTTAATAACTTTCTGTCAATACATTTACTC